GTCAAAAAAAAATAAAAAATTGCTCTCGGAAAACAGACCCAGAGAGGACAATTTGACTATCATCTTTTACGACTAAGTCCTCATAGCTCGGTGTTTAAACCCAGCTGTAAACGCATATATTGCAGAAGACCAAATTGACTTGTTGGTTGTTGTTGATCATGGGATATTTAGAAACTTCATCTGGTTCAATGTTGGTAATGTAACTCACATTGATCATGGACCAGCATTTCTTCTTATTGCATTGGATAAGCAAGATATGATTTTCTTTAAGGTTTCTTAGGTAAAACTCTTGTGACTGCATGCAATTAAGTATTATTTAATTTAATATGTGTTCAGTCTCAGATTGCCTTTGCTAAGTTTGCAAAATATAAATAAGCAATTAAAAAGAAGTTAATAATAAAAAAATTTTGTACGTTATAATAAATGATTATTTAAGACCGCGGTTTAAAAATGCCACTTCAGGTGAGACCCCTGAAAATTGAGAGCTATAGAGAAGGGGTTAAATGCGTTCTATCACACATACCTGAAATTGAGAAAGACTCGTGGTGGCGAAACCAGGAGAACCAAAACAGGAAGACAATATTTTACACAATCGCTTAAAAGCGCAAAAAGTCCAACAATTTCAAACAATGACTCGATTTGCCTAATTTTTTAAATCAAAATATTAATTAAGGTTTGCCCTGCCGCCTCTCTCTGTTAGCCTAGAAGCACTGTTCACCATAAAAGAAGAAAAAAATGATTTGTCTGTCAACCACAATATGTTATCACCCAAATTATGGATCTAAAGTCAACAGTGATTTAAACGCATTTAAAAATGATAAACTTCAAAGATATTCAATCAGCTTTATTAGTGAAAAAACTGACTTAAGTAGTCTATAAAAATTGCAAATCCATAAAGCCGATTCACCGAAAAACTGAATTAATTATACATCAGCCCATACTAAAAATGAAAATTGGCGAATTTTCCATATTTGATTTCGTATTTTTCCCTGTTTCAGACCTAACGCGTTTCCCCTGTTTCGTATCCCCAAACAAGTCATTTTCATTCATATGCTCCTGTTTGCAAAAAGCAGTTTTCCTTTCCCCATAAATTTATTTGCACATCGCAAAATTGCGGCCCTATTTTATACAATCGTTTAAGAAATAATGTTTGCTGCTTCTTTGTCAAAAAATGCGTTACTTTTTGAGGCGCTAATGTATTCACATAGGTGAAGGTATTCACTTCTGATCATAGTAAAATTTTCAAAGCTAATTGAGGAATTTACTGTATGGAAGAAATTATTTTAACATAGACTTTAAATTTGGAAATATCGTAAGCTGGTATGAATCACATCAATTAGTATTTTCGATACTTCTTCCTCCAGATATCCTGGGCTTAAAGCGAAAACTAGTCTAAGTCTAAAATATCAATTTTTGGTAAACGACTTTTAAACCGCAGCAAAAACCAAATCAGGAACGTTTTGGATATTTGGTCATCAAAAACATATTTTAGAGCAACTATTTGTGTCGCCTTGGAGGAAGGACTTCATCAATTTTTGAAGATACATGTATTATTTTTGTTTTAATTACTTGGTCAACAAATTAAATTCTGGACTTTTGGCTCTAAACCCACGTAATATTAAAACTAAAAGACGAATTTAAAGTTTACTAATACTAATAAACAACAATTCTCATAGAAAAATTAATTCCGTGATACGTCGTCTAAATAATACTACGCCTGACAATAGACCATATTTCTTTAAATTTTGATTTAAATTAATTTAAATGTTTTGTGAAATTTCAATGGGCAATTTTTTTATTAAAAATCGGTGAATCATGATGCCATCAAAATGTAAGTCCTTACGAAAATGTCTAAATTTTCCACTGTCAGAACCTCAAGCCAAAGAAATGCATTTATTTTTGGCTTTGGAATAAGAACTAATATAATAATTCCCAAAAAACTTTATATATAAAATATTTAAATTGCTCCGAATTTCCAGATCGTACTAATTCTTTAAATTTTGCTGTTGTCGTGCAAAACTCTCACGTGTAAAACCCCCTCATAATGTGCCAATAAAGATCTGTTCGATAACACCGCTTTGTGTCAGAAAACAAGCACCGCGCTAATGTAACGCCACTCAAAATATCTAATAAAGGAGCTTTTTGAGCTTACGCAGTGTTAAAATGCAGTAAAAACCTGAGCCCTGGGCGCTTTGAATGTCTACTTTATGTATCGCAGTCTATGTTGGTGTTTAGCCCCCTAAAGAGGCGTTTTTGTGAGCGAGGACACACTATCTTTATTATTTTATGATTATAATGCACTTGGAGCTAATAATTTACTCTCGGAGGACTTTATTTGAACTTTTGGCAATTTTTAACGCCGTTGTTAAAAGCGGAGAACGACGTTTTATCGCGCTAATGTGAGCAGTTTATGACTGTATGCTAAGAAAACTGTTGCTTAGGGATTTGATGGGTTTAGGCATCAGAACCTCATTTGAAAAACAATTTACATATAAACCATGATAAAAACAATTAAATTCAGAAAGAATAACGAATACTTGGGCTGCAGATATTTTAAGGTAGTTATTAAAACGGTTAAAACATTTAGCGACAGGATATACAATATTTGGATAAGGGCACTTTCTACAACTAGTTGCTTATATCGGTGCATGTACCAACGGAAGACAAAGATGAGGTTACAAAAGGTCTGGTTTACTACACTTTGGAGAGGAAACCAGCCCAGCTTCTCAAACAAGACATGACACTAACCCTGGTAGATTTCAATAAGAAAATTGAACAAGAAAAGACATTCAGACCTCATGTGGGCATACAGCCTGCACAAAGCTTCGGACGCAACGGTCTAAGAGTACCAGATCTTGCAGCATCAACTAATATGTTAATAAAGTCCACTATATTTGAACACAAAGATAAACACAATAACACATGGAGATATAATTATGGTGTAACTAGGAACCAAATAGATCACGTTAAAGTTAATGCAAGGCAAGTACGTTATGTACTAGACCTGAGAAGCTACAAGGAAGTAGATGCCAATTCCGATTATTTTCTGATCAAAGCCAAGATCAAAGCCAGAATAGCTATAGTAAATAACACGCGAACCACTCGTCTCTCTGCTCAGTGGGATATAGAAAAGCTTCATCAGACACAGTATCAGGGAGAACTAGAGCGACTTATCAGACAAAACACTAAGACCTCATACAATACTGATATGGAGACGTATTGAAAGTTTATTTCTGGAACAAACACAGAAGCAGCTAAAAGGTGGTTGGGGAGAAACCCAGGAAGTAAGCCACAAATCCACTGGTCTGATGAAGATTGCGAAGATGCTATGACGAAGAGAAATACGTCCCAAAGACGAGAATAGCGCAAGATTCAGACGACTAAGGAAGCTACGAAAGAAACCGATAAGATAAAAAAAATATAGAATGATAAGACAGCCAATTAATTCCGCAAGAAGGGGAAAGGAAAATAAGACAAGAACATTCTGGCAACAACTACGCTCCACAAAAGCAGAATTCAGACCCGGCACCGATAATAAAGAGGGAAAATGCAGGTGTACTAGCTGGCAAAGTAGAAATATTGCAAACGTGGAAAAACTGCTTCCATCATATGCTCAAAGGAGGAACTGGTAAAGAAGAGGAAGTACTGGATCTGCTAATTGCGGAGCAACCGAATGAGATCCCGTCTATAGAGGAAAAAACAAATTTGTACTAAAATGCTATTTTATTTTGTTGTCCCAGCACGCAAAATTCCATACCAACTTTAAAATATTACATCCTTTTTTGTGTCGAGCTATAAATTTCTCAACTGGTCTATAAAAAAATCGTTATATTGTAATAATAAAGAAAATATATCATTCAAACAGATTTATGATTTTGTAGCTACATTTGTTGGAAAGAAAACTTAATTGCAACCGACTCAAGCTCTTGCTAAATAACTTCAATACAGAAAGTGAAACAGCTCTCTTTAATCTAAAATCCTTCTCATAACTTTGACGAACTAATACTGAGCTACTTAGCTCTTAGAGATTAAACAGCTTTGGCCAAGTCGGACACAAAATAATGCGACTGGGCTGTAGAGAAATGTCGATACTAACTCAAGCTGACACCCAAATTCACCGACACATGTTGGATGTCATAAAGGGGGTTTAGGCGAAGATACATAGCACACCTTAAGACCTCGATGGCTCTCTAGCACTACGATTACATCTCCTTTACTCGCTCGGGAATATTAAAGGAGATTATTTATTGTCTTAGGAAAATTAGTGCTCTACTTAGTAGAATTCAAATCGCTTAGAGAGTTAGGCAAATAGTGCATGTAACATTTATTTCGACAACCTGCTACCTACTAATAAATAATTTTTATAGCATGATCTATCAGCATATATTATGAGCTTCAATCTTCTATGATGCTTAGAATTTAGAGACGCTTTCTTTACAAATCCCAAGCCGAGCGGCAACTTGATTATTGCAGAAAATGCTCCAACGAAAAAGAATGTTAGCAAAATGGGAGTGATATAAGTAACAAGTTAGACGAGGAAATCAAATCAGGAAATTTTACATTTTTGAATAACTGAATTTTGATTATACAGGGTTGCTCATTAGTGCGTCAAAGTGCGATATCTCAGTAAATATGAACTTTACAAGAAAATACGTCCTACGAAAGTTTTTCATGTT